CCTCCCCCCCTCCCGCGCTCCCCCCCCCCTCCTGCCGCCGTCTCCTCTCGGCTTTTCTCTCCCCAGGATGCTGACGGAGAGGTCCCCCAGTGACCCGCCGCGGGATGCAGCGCGCGGCGCCGGAGCCGGAGCAGAGGGCGTCGGCGAGCCGGACTTGGGCTTGGGCTCCGGCAGCAGCAGCGGCGGCGAGGAGGCTGGGCGGCGCGGCGGGGGGATGGCGCTCCCGGGGGAGCCGGCCTTGCTCAATGGGGTTGCCAAGGAGACCGGCCGGCCGCCCCCCTCCCCCGGCCCGCCGCCCCCTGCCGCGCCGGTGCCCGTGATCGAGTTGGTGCGCGGCGGCCGCCCTATAAAAGGCAGGGAGGCGCCGGCCGGGGCCATGCAGAGCCAGCCGGGAGACAGCGGCGGCGGCGGCAGCAACGGCAGCAGCAGCAGCAGCAGAGCGCCCACCGCCCTCGCCACGGGCCCCGGCACGCCCCCCGGTGGTGGCGGCGGCAGCAGCAGCAGCCACGACGCCCGCATGGTGCAGCTGAGCCCCGCGGCAGCGCCCGCCCTCCCGCTCCCGCCGCCCGCCAGAGCCATGCTCTACGGCCTCGGAGCCCCGCTCAGCACCGCCAGCAGGTCCGTCGCTCGTCAGCCTGGGCCGCCTGTCTGCCCTCGGAAGCGCTCGCTCCTTCGCCCGCCGCGCCTTGGTGCCTTTGGCGAGCAGCTCCCTGCTCCTCGTCGCCGCTCGCGCCTTCCCTTTCCCGCAGCTTTGCCTTGCCGATTTATCGATTTCCAAAACATAGTTTCCTCCTAACGTCTCCCTGCCACCTTCCCTTCCGTTTCTCGAAATAGCCTTTCTTCCCTTTTCCTTCTGTGTCTTCGATATTTTTCGATGTGTTGCATTGTCTGAGGTTAGTTTTAACGGACAGATGTGAATTTTGCTTTGTTGACTAAGATCAAGTTTAGTAAATGAGCCAGATTGCCACAGGGCAGAGAATAAGCAAAGACTCTTCTCTGGTTTGTACCTACCCTTTGTGTAGTCGACTTTTCCTTTTCTTCTGAAAGCAACAGCAGGTAGCTACCATTAAGTGCCAAATTACTGGTTTAAGTGAAGGATGAATTGTATTGACAGTATAAATAATTTCCTAAAATGTAGCATTTGTGAATTCTTTTCAGAGGAGTTCTTTAAACTGTAGTTATTATCAAAGAGGAATTTATCAGATAGAAAAATAGTAAAGTCCTTGTACACTAAAAATAAAAGAGTGGTTAGGATTTACTTCTCTAATAGTAGGAAACAACATAAAATGTAGCAAAAGCAATTATTATGCTTTGATCATAGTTCCAATGCAATATTGGCACTGTGCCTTCAGAATGGAAAGATGCTGGTTTTATAGATGGGTTCACAGGTGTTAGTTACTACAGTGAGTCAGGCAATCATTTTATCATTTCATATGAAGATGCAGTGCCATATAATCTTGACTCTTGTGTCAATTGCAAGCCAAAACTATGTCCACCCTGGCTTCTTAGAGGTTGGTAGCTGTTTGGACAATGACTTACTGGAACCAATACTTTAATCAGGTTAAAGTTGGCTAAAAAAAGGTGCTGCTGCAAATTATATCTGGCTTCTCTATTAGATGCACACAAAAAGTGCTTAAAGCAGGCATGTAATACATTTCAGTTCCTGAAACATTCAAATGGACTTAGAAGGATGTAACTGTGCTTAGGATGGCTCTGCTAGAGGCCAAATGGATTTCATAGAATAAATATACTTGGAATTGTGGTCCAAGAAGCTCTCTGTGTGGGTGTGTGCTTGCTGAGCATTTATAGCATGTGCACATATTATAAATGCTCATCACACAGTATGCACACAGACATATATGTACACCCTCAGCTGAATTATATTGAATCGTTTCTCCTTGGCTTCAACAGAAGTCTGGTGATCTATGGTGGTTGGTTTTCCTTATCTCATTGTGTTCTCTGCCTCTTATCTTGCAGTGGATTTTTTGGGGAGCCAGACACCTTCTCAATGTACAACAATAGCCGAGTGAAAAGAAGACCGTCCCCTTATGAAGTGGAGCTCTCTGATGGTGAGGAAACCCTTTGTTAGATTCCCTAGATGGGGCAATTGGAGCCCCAAGAACTGTCACTGTTGCTTACTTTGGGGTGGTGGTGGATGGGAAACTTGCTTAGATCACATTATGGCCTCTGGTCTAAAGATGGCCATGGTGCTGGGAAGAAAAACAATGCAAATGTTTCGCTTTGTGGCTGGTTGATATTGGTCCTAATTGTCTGTTCAGCCAGCATGCAATCTCCACTCTGCAGAAATGGTCATTTTGGGATTAAAAGAATTTACTGATCTATATGACAATGGCTGTAGGTGGGGGAGGGGGGTTTCAGATCTCCCACTGGGCTTAAAAATTCCGACCCAGAGATTTTGCTTTCCGTTTCAGTCTGTGGCTGAACTGCTAGACGAGGGAGCTGTCTCCTCTCTAGCTCAGTTTTATCTAGTCCCGTCATCCATCCACTTTCTCCCGCCTGCTGTAATGAGCAGGGCTCCAGAAGAACTGCAGAGCAGAAGTGGTGTTTGTGTGTGTGTGTGTGTGGAGAAGATGGGCTAGAAAAGCTGTGGCTGTGTCATCATCTCTCTATTCAGTGGCAAGTTTAAAGGCGGAGGGGTGGGGGAGAGAACAGATTGGTCAAGTGCGCATGCAGCTGGATCTGCTGGGTTTTCCAGCCTCAAATTCTGGGTGGCTACTCCTCAGCTCTGACCCTCCCTCCCTCCAACTACAGACCCCAAGCTTCCGTATCTTTCAGAAATGTGTAAGGCCTTTCTGTGTGGGTAGGGATTAGGCTTCAGTCAGCTAATGGTAGGGGGATATCAGTTTATTTGAAGAAATCTCATCCTGTTTTGCAGGTTTATTTCTTGCTGTTCTTTCAGGGTGGGATCGGGTGTGCATTTGAAATAAATGGGCACTGAAGTCCATGGGATTAATGAAGGGTTGCTTGGAGTGAGTGATTTGCACAAAGTATCTGATGTATAAACCTCACCTCTGTCTTGGGCTAATAAAATTAAGGGTATCTTTGAATTAGGCCACTTAGAAGGCAAGAGCCTTGAGTAAGTTATGCTAAAAGCTGTTAAACTTTAAGGTGCTGCAAGACTCCTGTTTGTGTGGTTGTGCTGGGTTACCTGATGGTATCATACAAATATGCACTGATCTGATGTCCCACACAGGGCCCTGGCAGTTATTCCTTTGGCATCTGAAGCCAGGCATGCACAGGGTGACCGGTCACACAGAACCCAACCCACCAGGTGCTCTTGATAACCCTTCCATTTTTTCAGTGTCAGGCAAACAGCAAAACAAGAGCTGTGCAGAGCATATCTGCCTTTGGCAAGCAAAGCCAAGGTGAGAAGAAGATGGTATGAACAACACCAGTTAGCAATTTTGTTAAGGATCCTGGGAAGTATCGCAGGACACTGGCTGCCATCTATGCCTCATTTGCTCAAGTGTAGAACAATTTAGTCAATAACTGCCATGGAGAAATCAGGTTATTGTGACCATGGTAACTTAATTACCCAGGGATAATTAAATGGCTAAATGCCATACTGAGGTCATTGCCATTTTCCAGCATGAGATCACCACTTAAGGAGGATCGTCAGGATTTGCAGTGTATCTCAGAGCAGCAGAACATTTTGTGATTTGTTCACAATCTTGCTGTGCCCCCCCCCCATGTGTACTCATTCATGTTTAATTAGGGATCAAGCTCAAAAAATGAAAAAAAATTTTAACCCTCCCCCTTTTATATTTTCAAAACCAAGTTTCAAATTTGCTTCATATGCTTTTTTAATTTAATGGCACTATTCCCAGGTCCTGCCAACCTAGCAGTTCGAAAGCAAGAAATTGCAAGTAGATAAATAGGGTACCACTTCAGTGGGAAGGTAACAGCTTTCCATGCGCCTCGGTGTTTAGTCATGCCGGCCACATGACCATGGAAATGTCTTCAGACAGCGCTGGCTCTTCGGCTTTGAAACGGAGATGAGCACCGCAACCCTAGAGTCGGATTTGACTGGCTTTCGAGCAAGGGAACCTTTACCTTAACTTGTTAACTTTTGATCAAATATTTGAGTTTGTGGAGGAGTGGGAAGGCTATTTCATTGGTCATTAATTTTACAATTCATATACAGATCAGGCATTTCAGTTTAAACCAAGTGTATATTTTGTTTTAAAGAAACAGGCTAAGTTGTTCAATACAACAATGTAAGGCAAATCATAAACTGAGAGTGTCACCATCAATTTAAGATTAGTCCTGCCTCATCATACCACATAGCTTAGCAATAAACCTGTGTCTTGAACATGGGTGTTATCCTGTGGTAGTAAGATAGTATTATACATTAAAAAACACCAGTAGTGTCATCTTTTTATTATGGTCTATCACCTCATCCTAATGGACCAATCCAGCTGAAAAATATTTTTTAATTGTAAATATGTTTTACAGCAGATTCACACTTTACATAGCAGTGCAGTAACTTTGGTTCTTAACCAGCATTTGGTGGATAAATACATAAAGTGTGAAAGAGAGATGCATACCATCTCAAGACATTTGGGTACAGGCAGTAGGTTGCTGTAATTGGCTGTGGCTCCTCAGAACATGCCCATGATAATCCATGTGTTTGTGGATGCATACATCTCTCTCATAAATTATATATTATAATACATATGACACTGAACACATTAGGCGTAAAACCATAATTTAAAAGTAGAGGTAAGAGTCTAATTAAAAGGCCTTCCAAAAGAAACAAGGTGAAGAGGTCATAAGGTATCACATAACTTGACCTTAAATGCCTTGCCTTCACTCCAGAGCTCCATGTGTACTTTAATGGTGCAACAGAACTCCTGTGCAAATAACTTTCCCCATTCAGTTAAATGAAGGGGGCAACATGGCATGTGCACCCCTTTGTACATAGAGAGTGTGCAGTCCCCTCAATCAATGCGAAAGGGGAGCCTTTGTGGATAGGAGAGCTCCACTAGTGCATTATAGCTCCTCCAATGAAGCCATGAGATCAGGCAATTATCTGAAATTAAATCCCACTGAAATTTTGTGAGATTGTTCATGCGGTCTTAATAACACTAGTATTAAGGTAAAGGTAAGGTAAAGACTCTAGGTGGTGGTGTTCATCTCCGTTTCCAAGCTGAAGAGCCTGCACTGTCTGAGGATGTTTCCGTGGTCATGTGGCTGGCATGACTAAATGCCAAGGCACACGAAACACTGTTGCCTTCCCACCGAAGTGGTACCTATTTATCTACTTGCAATTTCTTGCTTTTGAACTGCTAGGTTGGCAGGAGCTGTGGCCAGAGATGGGAGCTTACTCAGTCACGCGGCACTAGGGTCTCGAACTGCCGAACTACAGACCTTCCGGTCTGCAGCTCAGCATCTTAACCTCTGAGCCACCACGGCCCTAGTATTAAGGTACCAGCTATTATTTGCTTCCTGAATTGCCACTTTAGTGCTTATGCCAAACTGGGGTCTGCCATCTAGAGTGGTTTATAGATTGGACTCTCAAGGCATGATCCTCTAGTGTTTTGCTCCAGGTTTCCAAGGGCCTGCCAGGGCTTTACTGGGACTATTCTTGAGTGTGATGCTTAAAGACTACCATCTTAATAGAAGCCTTTGAAGGATTGGTCAATCATACTTTGATGGCTGAATCCTGTTCTATGGATCATCTAGTCAATTGATACATACGACTAACAAAACTGTTTATTACACAAATGCAGCTTTTTATAGAATGGTAGCTAATTACAGCATATAGATAGCAGTAGGACATCTTTATGACGTTTGAATCTGGGCAATAGGAAAAAGTGGGGAATGTTGGGAAATCTGCTAAATTAAACAGAATTTGCATAAAAATAAGGATCATTCCTCCATACAAATGTACTGATTTGTCATGCATTTTACAGAACAGGGACACCCCCCCTCCGCGTTCAAGCCACCAAAAATTAATTTTGTAATTGTTGATTTTCCTCTCTGAATCAATTTTATGGCAAGCACTTGGAATGGATTACAAAATATGAGTATAAAGTTCTTTGGGGCAATTGAATGGAAATACAATAATGTATTCCCTTTTGACAAGGAAGCAGGCCTGCAGACCTCATGGGTCAGCAAGACCAAGAGAGCTAGTGTAGTGTAGTGGCAATGAACATGAACTACTAAATAGTCCTCTTCTGAGCTTGAACTCGCTAGGTGATTTTGGGCAATTTTCAGTCTTTCAGCATCAACCCTGCAAGTACAGAGATAACAATATGGATTCTCCAGGGGCCTTGTAAGAGCTATTAGGCGAAAAAAGGCAAAGCACTTTTATTACTAAGTACTATTATGAAAGCCATACTGGGTTTGTGAGGCATTGCAATTCATATGTTCATGTGGCAAAATAAATGCTCACCCCTGGTGGATGCTGAGCATTAGGACTGGCAGATTCTGTGCCAAATGCCAATAATGGTCTTTTTGATGCAGTAGACTAGATATTACCTCAATTGTTTTGAGAAGGACTACAGTATTAGATTTGAATCTATGAGATTTGGGTTCCCATCTTTTTTGTGAACTAATGCCTGAGGAAACAAGACTCATGTTTCTGTTTCCACTGCTTCTGAGCTGCAAAGGGAAAAATGTGATCAATCTCCCTATGGGAGTACACCAGATGACTCCTATAGAGAAAAACTTCAGTCAGTTCCCATGTATCTTGAATGACTAGGGCTTCAAGCACAGAGGGCAAAAAATCCAGTAAGCTTTTTATTTTGCAAACAGAGAACCAAGGCTAAGTTCAAAACATGCCCATTTTTGAGAATCAGTAGGTTTAACATTTCTTTTTCAATGGCTTCTCCCAGATTCCTCATTCCATCCCAGCATCCCCAGATCTATGAGGTAAACCTTTGTCCTCTTACTTCAACTGTCCCTTCAGTGCCCAGGTGCTGAAAAAAGGATGCCAATCCCACAATTCCACAGGAAGGTATTTGTGAATTATGCCAGTTAAGTCAATTATGTAGATGTCTTAACTCACACAATATGTAGTTCACAGGGAATATGGGTCAATGTTATGTGCAGAAGGAAAAAGGACATGAAGCTTGCTATTGCCTTCTGCTTTAACATGTGGTGGTTCTTGCTCTTATGCACAGGGTTGAGCTGGTCGTCTGGGTTGGCATCGGGAAGGAAATTTCCCCCACGGCACATTGGCAGACACCGAGGCTTTTTCGCTTTCCTCAATGGAGCATTGAGCAGGGATCATCTGTTAGGATCAGGTGGGCGTATCCCACACGATCAACTTCCTGCTTTGATTTAGGGTGGGTTAATTGGTTGGACACTGGTGGATATCAGGATTTTAAATGCCATTGTGTGTTACACAGAGGGTGGGGACTGCAGCCAGACACTACAATCTATAGAACTATCAACACACACACACACACACACACACACACACACACACACACACACACAGATATATTAGTCCTACTCAGGGGTCATTTCATAGAAAAAGAGGTGCAGGAGCTCATTTGCATAGCTCATTTGCACATGCCACACCCCCTGACAAAGGGCAGGCATGCAAGCATGCCTGGGTTCCCCGTCTGATCTTCCAAAGATCCTTAAAATGCCTTTCTTTCCCTTCCCCATCTGGGAAAGGGAAAGAAAGGCATTTAAATCCCCCCCCCACTTCCCTGAGTTTCTCCACCAAAGTGGAGAGGCTCAGGGGGAAAGCCACTGCGGTGGGCTGGCTGAAGAAGGCAAGGCAAGGGTGGGCAGGCAGACATGCCTGGGTTCCCTGCCTGATCTTCTCCAGGTGCCCCATGGCTGTGGGGCACCTGGAGTAGATCAGGCAGGGAAGAAAGCATTTAAATCCCCCCAGGTGGCGGGGGGGGGGGCTGCCTCTGGGCTCCTTAGTGCCGGAGCACTGCTCCAGTGTGCTCCGGCAGGAAATGACCCCTGGTCCTACTGAAGTTGGGCATGCGCAAATAGCTGGAAAACATTTGTGGATTATAGTCATGGTCTGCAAACAGACACATTCCTGTTTCTTTTTCAACCCTGGTCTCAATTGTCAAGAATATTTTTATATCAAAGACCTGTATATGGACCATATATCTTATGAAGATCAAATATATCTTATAAAGATCAAATATACTACAATATACATAATAGGCCATAGAATGTTGTAATCTCTGCTTTAATTTAACCACAGGAAACCTTTTTGAAATTCATAAAAATGATAGTATGTAGATTTTACTTTCCTTCAGTGCTTAAGGCATTTCACATACATTACAATAATTTTTATAATAGCTTTCCAGGGTAGGCTGGCATGATTGTTCCTGTATTACAGATGCATGAAACAGCGGTCACTGCAGGTGTGGAGGGGGAGGTATTTGTGAACTTCCTGTATTGTGCAGGGGGTTGGACCAGGAGGTCCCTTCCAACTATGATTCTATGATTCTATGTGTCTGAAAGAACAGTAATTTGTGTATACCAAGGCAGAGTCACAGTTTGAACTGGAGACTCCAGCTCATGAACCCTGGCTCATGATAAAGAGGTATCAAAAGATTCTGTGGGGTAAAATAACACATTGATTCAGTATACTGGGTTGGACCTTATGAACCATGAACAGAAAGAATTCACAACACAGATCTGTCTTAATTTCCCTTGCCACTCCCTGCATGATCCTCCATTTCTTGAAAAGCCATTCTAGACGGCTGGTGACCTTTGGAGAGCAGGTTGTGGGCAGGGGGCTTCAGAAAGGAAATCTGTAGAAATCACCTCCCACCCTTGCATGAACAGTTGCTCTCTCTGCAGAAGATCTTACAAAATGGGGGAGAGCAGATAACATCTGTGATTTCCCCTCAAGCTGCAGCCTACCATACTGTATTCTGTTTTTGAGGGCTCCCCATCTCTAGCCTATTGGTAATCAGGGAGCAGCTTTTTGTGGGACACAATGGCAAGACAGGAAGGAAGACATCTGTCCTGGGAACTCCTTCCTTTTGTGGTTCACAGGATTCAATCCAATCTGTGTTATTGCAATATTCTCCCCCACCCCCTTAAAATCTTTTTCTATTACATATGATTTACAGGGCTTCATAAATTAGACAAGATTGTACCTTCTGTAATATATTCAGTGAAACACACACACTCTTAATACACAAATATATCACTGAGTCAGTGAGATAAGCAGACTATAAAATATATAATACAGAATAGTAAATAAACTATGTACCTTTCCAAATTGCTGCTACTGCATAATATTAATTTATATGTAACTAATTTGCTTCAATCATCGGAAGCTCATCATCAGTTAGGCTGATTTATTTATGCTTCAAATATTTGTTTTCAATAATCATTTGAATTTAAATGTATATATATACCTACCTTTATTCATAAAAATGCACAATTAAATAAATCTATAGAAAGATATAATTCTTAATACCAAAATGAATAAAATGGTTACAAGCTGTCTGCAAAGTAAGGCTTCTTAACACAACCATCTCTCCATTGAATGAATTCCATTAATTTCAACTATTTAGCTAGTTACCATAACTTAGCTATACAACTTTTAATACTTAATCTCTTTGTGCTCTTCCAGTTAATGGATTATTCTTATTGTTGCCCTCCTAAAGTGGAGCACAGTATCTGCTCTATATGCTTTATATTTTACCCCAATTAGGTGAATCCAGGACTAACAGCAAACATAAATAAAAATGACAAATTAATTCTAGTATGATGTAATATTAATTAGTGACTACAGAAGAGAGGAGTTTCCATCCTACTTGAGATGTACAAAGGTCCTGCCTCTTCTGCATGGTAGTATTTTGAATGAATCTGGGAACATTTACAACAATGATTTCTGGTATATTTGAGTTGCCTTTGTTTAATTTTATAAAACAATATAACTGAAAATGCCCTGTTCCCTTAAGAACACAATAAGTAGAGCTTGCTGGATCAGAGCAGTAGTCCATCTGTTCCAGCAACCTGTTTTGTATAGCAGCTGACTAGTTGCCCTGGAGGGCAATAAATAGGGGACAGAGGTGGATGCCTTCCCCTGATGCTGCCTCCCAGCACTGGTATACAGGGGTTTACTACCTCTGTATATGGAGGGTCTTTCCCTTTCTTCCTATTGTATTGCTTCTTCACATTAACACAGGTTGAAATAATATGCTGGGCGTGGTAATATAAATATAAGCATATAGGTTATATTTAGGTTAAGGTTTATATTAGGTTTTTCCCTTCCAGAAAAGTAATTACTGGCCACCATTCCTTCCATCCATCCTTTGTCTTCCTAGCTGGGTTCTGTTCTGTTCTATTAGCCTGCTGATAACTGCCTGCATATTTATTTATTTTATTTCATTTATACCCCGCCCTCCCCGCATGCGGGCATATCTATATAGCTCATGAGCATAAACAACCACAGAATGAACCCTAATTCAGTGAAGTCAATTGCAGGTCAAGGATGCTGGTTTAGGGAGACATCTGGTAAAACAACTGAGTTTCCAGGATCATTTCATCTTTGATTGGTCACAATTAACTTGATGATTTCCCTCTAGGAGATGCATAGAGATCTATGTATGTGGAGCACTCGCTAAGAGGTCATAATGTTTTAAGACTAATTTAATTTCCCCTTTATATCTCCACAAAAGCTTCCCCTATATTACTCCACAAGAAAAAGGGTTAGAGAGGAAAAAAGTTGGGAATTCAGAAAAACTACTAGTTCATATTGAAAATACTACCCTGTTTTCCCGAAAATAAGACCTACCCCCAAAAATAAGCCCTAGCAGGATTTCTATGCATTGGTGGTATAAGCCCTAGTGTGTCTTCTTGAGAAAAAATAAATATAAGACAGTGTCTTATTTTCAGGGAAACACGGTATAATGATAGAGCAATTACCATTAAAAAAAGTCTAAGAAAGCCCTCTGGTGGCAGGAAAGGAAAATGGCATCTGTAGAGGCTGAGGAAACAAAAATAGTGCTGATGTAAGCAGGACCTTCAAAACCATGCACCTTCTTGTCCATGCCAAGTTTGGGAAAGATTCTGACAAAATGGGAGAAATCCACAAAGTGGATGGTTAGGGGATGATGCCATGTGGATCTCCTCCCAAAAACCTTGCTTTGGTTTGGATGCCAAACCATAGCAAAACCTCTGTGTGAATGTAACCATGTAATATAGATGTGTCAATTAACTTTGAATGTGAAATTAGCTTTATTAAGATATCTGTAGCTTGAAAGCCATCCTTAGTCTTTAAATTGAATAGATCGGATGTATACACTTAAATTTTTTTGTTGCTGCTAACCCTGTATTTCTTGCCATTTTTAGGTCCTCATACAAAAGTGGTCCGTCGAATATTTACCAATAGCCGGGAGAGGTGGAGGCAGCAGAATGTCAATGGTGCCTTTGCTGAGCTTCGCAAGCTCATCCCAACTCACCCACCTGACAAAAAACTCAGCAAGAATGAAATCTTACGCCTGGCCATGAAATACATCAACTTCTTGGCTAAGCTGCTGAACGACCAGGAAGAAGAAGGAAACCAAAGGGGTAAAGTCAGCAAAGACACTGGCATAGTGCAAGAGGATCTCCTTCAGGACATGTTGTCCCCAAACTCAAGCTGTGGAAGTTCATTAGATGGAGCAGGAAGCCCAGACAGTTTCACAGAGGAGCACGACATGTTAGATTCTAAGCACACAAGAGGCATCCACCATTCTATTCTTCCAATCGAAAGCAATGCACAGCGATGATGAACTGACAAAGAGGCACAGGCGAGCCCCTGAGAACCTGGCATTTGGAAGTTATGCATGCCCTTCCCCCATTGTTAGCTCAGCCAATAAATGGGGACCTCCCAACTTTTCTTTCTTTCAACTGGAATAAGACAACAGGATGATTAATGAATTGTTGGATCAAATCAAGTGTATTTTTGTTGCCTATGCTGCAGATGAAGCTCAGGCCTGAGAAGTCATTTTGCTATCTGTGTTGTTTTTGAAAGAATGGGTGAAATGTGTGGGCAGCACATCTTGTATTCAAAGAAGGTTCATAAATGACTGGACTGATAATCTGTTTTATGCAGAATATCTACTCTTCTGCACTATACCACTCCTCTCTTTCTCAGCTGTTCAGACCCAAGCATCTTCCATGATATGTGTTATGTGGCAATATGCTGTGTGGTCCCCCCCACCCCCAGACCACATTGGGGGAACTGATGAAACTTGTCTGTGCAGAGTATTTTCACCCAAAAAATTTTCTTTCTTTTAAGAAAGAAAAGAAATCTTGTCATGAAGGAACAGTTGAGACTTTGTGTTGTGGGTTTGTTTGGTTCTTTTTTAAAAAATAAATCTAACCCAGTTTTGGATTGTTTGAGGTCTTGTATTTATGATGTGGAATTCTCTCTGTTTAATTCCAATATGCAGTATCTGCTGAACTGAAAAGGTACATCAGTGGGAATTGGATTCCCAGCTTCTGACACCTCATCACAATGGTGATTTCTTCTGACATGGGTGAGCAATGGCATTTCCTTAGAGTTGTTATCTTGGGGCCTCCCTGCTTTATTTTTACTGAAATGTGTGTATGTGTGTGTGAGGGTTATGTGTGTGTGAAAAATTGATACAAACAATTTTCAGCTATGCACTTTGATTATTTTGGATTGACTTGCATAAAAGTCACAAGACACAATCTGTTTCAACTTCTCCCACACAAACAGCATGGAGATGAATGGGAGTTGTGAAAGAGCACCTCTCTGTTGATGGATGATGCTATCAGTCAGAGACTGGCAAATGGCCCACAGTGCTGAGTCTTGTTCAGGAGAACCTTCCAAGAGCAGTGTAAATGAGGTGCTCTTCACAGAAGTTGCATGAATTCACAGCTGATTTGTATTATGTTGTACAATAGCCTACTAATCATAGATTTTCTGTCCAGTGTACTCTAAATGGGTCATTTTCCTTACCTCAGTTGTTCTGTTCACTCAGTCCAACTTCTTTGTCTTCACAAGGCTGCAGTTCACAAACCATTTGATTTTACATGGTCTTAAGGAAGAACCACTGAAGATTTTGAGACTACTTCAGGATTACTTTAGAGTACTTTTTTTTTTTTGGAGTTATAGCCAAAGTTGTTTATCCAGGGACTGCAAAATCAGGAAATCTTTTCCATTCTCAGGGCCACTTTATATATTGCATTAAAAAATAGTTTGCGTAAGATGTTTTAAGTGTACACCTAAAATGTAAAATGTGACTGCGACAAACAACATGTTTGCAAACCCGTGTAGTGTATGATATGGTTGTTGGGAAACATCATTGGTTGAAGATAGATCTCAGTCAAGTGCTCTGCCTCTATGTAGTATTTAAAGTGGTCCTGAGGAATAGCTGCAACTTATTTACAGGATTACACCACCATTCACAACTCTGTGCACATACCCATTACTGCCTGTGGAGGATGGAGCTTTGGAAAACATATGTGAGCCTTTCTTTAACTGTTAGTTGAGAATCTTTACTTGCATAGCTGGAACTGTTCTTTTAAAGGATCTTTTAAAAATAAAAATAATATTTTGAACATTTGTAGAGCTTCTAATTTGGGGGTTTGGGCTGCACATGTTAAAAATTAAAATAGTTAAGTAGGTGTTGGGGAAGCTACATTTCAGCTGCCTTGTAGTCCATAAACATCTGAAGGCATTTGAAGGGACTGCAGTGGAATCAATGGCTTGTGGACTGCAGATGTTATATTAACTGGAAGCAATGACAGACACCCATAGATTAGAAATGACCTTTTGGAAATCAGATGAAATAACTCAAAAGGAATGAATCCTGATGTTTAGTGGGTGTCACCCTTTCACTGGTCTTGCAGATCTGCAAAATCACCATAACTCAATTAGATATCCATACTAGACCGAACACTCTTTGGCCTTTTTTATTCCAGTTGTTAAAGGCTCTTTTCTTAGGGGGTACCTAAGAATGTAATAAGAATAAAACTTACTGTATGTATGTTGTTTTCAAGTGTTTAAATTGCTTCATGTTCATTAATATCTTGTAATCTTCCATCACCTCTGTATGGTTGGTCAGTGTTACTATTCCTGTATCATAGAAAGGGGGTGGGCTGAGCAAGTGTGGCCGAGTAAGACCACCCAGTGAGTTCATGGCAAAGGCAAGAGTCCAACCCAGGACTTCCTGACTGTGTAGTTCAGTCTCTGTTCTGCCATGCTATGTAGGGTATAGCTTTGGTGTACCTTTCCACCAATCAAAGCCACTCCTTCTCGCAGCTGTCCATCCTTAACTAAAGGATACAGTTGGCCTTTACAGCATTTTTATAGAAAGAACAGAGCATTTCTGTGATGCTTTCATAACAATACTGCTTTTTTATTTTTAAAAAGTCTGAATCTAAAATAACTGTAAACCTCTCATGGGATTGAGATGACAAAACACTTATAGAGGAAACAATGCTCTGTGTGATTTCCTCTGATGCTTTGACTTAGCAGTGATAATGACCATAATTTTAATAAACTTCCTAGGGCATTTGCATGGCCAGGCTGACTGATATTAGTGGTAAACTGCTAATGGTACTATTTCACATATTTGCCATGGTGGTAAAGATCACATACAGGCACTCTGAGACAGAGATAATTATAGACAACTTTAGTGCTCAATCAAGATGTGTGACATTAATGCTATTCCCTACAGGGGTTCTCTCTAAAGTTATCACATCAGAGAAAACCTTTCCAAATTGAGCAGTGTTTCCTCTAAGCTGAGTTAGTGTGAGCTAGCTCACAGTTTTTTAGCCTCTGGCTCACACATTTTTGTCTTAGCTCAGGAAGGCTGGCTCCAGAGCAAACCAATTTATGCAGTAGCTGAATCGCTCACTCGCAACTTTAATGCCAGTCGCTCACAAAGTAGAATTTTTGCTCACAAGACTCCACAGCTTAGAGGGAGCAGGGAGCATTGAATATGACATTTTAAAATTCCCAATAAGACATCTTGAGTGATGTTGATTTTCTTCAGAGCAAAGCAATATTTGGTCTAGCAGCATATGGCAGACACCAAATAAATTCTGTGCTTATAATCTGTAGCATACCTACTTAAGGTATAAACACAATTGAATTAAATTTATCTTGCAATTAAGTAAATATGCTTAGGACCTATCTGTAAACTATTTATTCCTCAATCCTTCTTTATGTATCCCCCAAAGAACTATAGAATCACAAGAGAAATAATAAGCTTTTCATGACACAAAGATGAATAACCTATATTTAATCCATGACACTGTCGCACCTAAATTGGGGGTAGGGGGCAAAGAAGCAGGCCTAAGAGTGGCTGTGCACCTGATGAAGGAGGGCAGGCCCTCAGGAGCAGGAAGAGGAACTGGCTGCTAGTTAGGGTTACCAACCTCCAGGTGGGGCCTGGAGATCCCCTGCTATTGCAACGGAATTCCAAACAACAGAGATCAGTTCCCCTGCAGAAAATAGCTACTTTGGAGAACAGACTCAGTGGCACTGTATCTTGCTGAGGTTCCTCTCCTCCCCAAACCCTTCCCTTCCCAGGCTCCACCCCCAAAACTCCAGATATTTCCCCATCCAGAACTGCCAACCCTACTGCTAGTACTAGCCTAGTCAGGTCTAAATGCATCATCAGGAGTAGAGTAAGGGAGCCTGGGAGTGGGCAAGGCAGGGAAGAAGTGGCCAAAAGGCAGAGGTGGGAGGAAGGACAGGTTTGCTGGCTTTGATAGAAAGGTAGCCAGCAGGGCCTGGAGTCTCCATATGCTAAGGTGACCTGGCCTCCTGGAACAAGGGTGAAGGCATTCATGGCCAGGTGGGGGACAGAACTGGAGGCTCTGCAGATATAGTAGAGTTTGTAGCTCTGTCAGGGCCTAATGCTGCAGCAGTGTGGCTGTAGCTAAAGAGATTCCTTCCCCAAGGAACAGATATGGAGACTTCGCCTGAGGAAAGCAGCAAAGAAATTGAATGTTGCTTGGCAAGTAGATCTCCCTGCCTAAGTGTGGCCATTACCTCCAGAAATTTTTGTTGAAGGTTATTTATCCCATTAGAGACTCATCTGCTTATGGAGTTCTTGTGGAGGCTGGAGGATAGGGTTGCCAGCCTCCAGGTGGGGCCTGGGGATCTCCTGCTTCTACAACTGATCTCCAGCTGACAGAGATCAGCTCCCCTGGAGAAAATGGCTGCTTTGAAGGGTGAACTCTGTGGCGTGCTGTGCAGAGGCCCCTCCCCTCCCCAAACCCTGCCCTCTCCTAGATCCACCCCCAAAGTCTCCAGGTATTTTCCAACCCAGACTTCGCAACCCTACTGGAGGAAGATGGGATACCATTGTAGAGAGGTGATCTCTGACCCAGGAAGCATCACAATCATATACAACCCCCCTAAATTTTCTCACACGATGTATGCAGATACAGTAAGAAGATATCTATGGCTTGTATGTCCATTTATGTCTTGGAGGTACAACAACATATTGCTACTACTGTTTGTACTTATTTAATATGGAGGCATATATATGTTATGTCCAAAATGAATCAACTGGGAATCTGTGCCATTTTATGGTTCTCTTCTCACATGCACTAATGCAGATTAATAGTAATATCTCTCATTACTTCATACATCAGAATGCTTTTCCTATCACCAAGAAATTGCTCCACTCTTCTCAAGAGCACTTTGCTGATCAATACATAAGTCAACCAGGTTTTTTTTAAAGCCACCATCATTGTGGTACTGAAAAGATGATGAGGCTTTTAAGGCTGTTTTGTCTGATCA